CTCTTGTGAATAGACTTCTTGTTATGTGACATCAAGTCAAGTACAACTCCCAGTGATCCTGTGAGCAATGGTCCTGAACCTTGCCTATCCTCAGCCAACTTCCCCATCTCAGACATACCTGACCCCACTGCCACTGTCACTGTGACTCTGTCTCATCCAGGGTCTTCCTCTTCTTTGCTGACCCTCGACCCTTCCAAGCATGATGTCCTTCTCCAATGACTGGTGACATGCCCAAAGTATGTGAGACGGAGCTTCAATTTCCCTGCCTCTAAGGAGCAACTTGGTTTTACCCTCTCCAGGACAGACCTGTTTGTTTTCTTGGAAGTCCAGTACTTCCAGTACTAAGTCCAATACTCTTCTCAAGAACCACGACTCAAAGGCATCAATTCTCCCTCTGTCATGCAGTAGGTAGACTAACATGCCCTGTTTGCATGATCCATCCATGTCCCAAAGTCAAAGTCAATGGCCTAGGAAGGTCATTTTGAACAATAAGCCCTTGACACCACAACTGCCTTTTTTTTTTTTTTAAACCAACCTTGTTGTCATCAAGTTGATTCTGAGTCAACTCTGTATGTCTCAGAGGGGGCTGCTCCAAGGGGCCCGCTGGGCTGTGATCTTACCACAGACCAGGCATCAGGAAGGAAGTTAGAACCAGCCTGGGTCGCCCCAGCTCTGCCTGTACTCCCTGGGCAGGTAACGGAGCTCCTGTTCTGATCACTGCACACCCCCAAAGTCAGCCTCACCTCAACACGAAGCCCACTGCCACCACGTCACTTCCAACTTACAGTGACCAGGGACAGAGCAGAGCTGCCCACGAGGTCTTTTCATGGCTGTGGTCTCACAGCAGCAACCACAGCTTTCTCTCAAGGGGCAGCTGGTGAGGTTGAACCACTGCTGAACCACTGCTCCCCCGAGCAAATTTGCATGATACTGGAGTGAGGGGAGAGCTTTGAGAAGCACCTCAATGTGATGACCCCTGGGGACAGAAGGGGACAGGTCAGTGAGCCACCAGCTCGCCAGTTCTCTGTGGGATCCAGCCGGCATGGCAGCTCCAGGTCCCCCATCCACACTGGACAGTCCTCCCAGGAAAGTAGCTCCTGGTCCAGCTGAGCTGTTGCCCCTCTGGCAGTGAGTACCATGTCCCCTCACTGTCCCCACCCTCTGAGGGCAGAGAAAGCCTTCAGGGAGGAGCCAGCACAACAGGGGTCCCTGTCAGCTCTGAGCTCCCAGGAGGACCCAGCGGGAGGTATCAGGAGAGCAGGACTCTGGTGCAGTGGGCTGGGGAGCCTTTTGCAAGACAGGCGGTCGGTCAGTCCCCAGGGCCCTCACTGTGGAGGGCCTTTTCCCAGCTGTGCTCATACAGCGCATTCACAGGCCAATCCTGACGGGGTCCTCACCACACTGTCCACTCTCTGCTCCCATGTCCGTATCTCGGCTTCCACACAGGGGGCTTGAGTCCGGGGTGACCACCCAGGGCAAGTCCACTTGCCTCCCTCAAACCATGCAGACCCGACATGCCAGAGTGAGGTGCCCACTGGTCTTGAACACGTAGGCAAGTGGCCGGGGCTCTGCCACCACTGCAGGCCAAGCCCTCTCTGCCTGGCCATCCTGGGGCAGTGACTCTGGTCCAGCCACTGCCAGCAGCTGATATGGTAAAAAACCAGAGAGAAATGGAGGACCCTCTTTGTGGCAGGACTGTGCAGGACCCTGGCCCTGGGTCCCCGCTGCTGCCCTTCATGGTGCATGGTGCTGTCAGCTGCTGTCCAGCGAGCCTGACTCATAAGACCCACATATAAGACACACATCATGTTCGCTTGCAGTTCAGACCCTGGGGGCCCAAGCGCTCTAAGCACCCGGTGGTCAGGAGCAGGTGACCAGGCCCTTCGACTTGGTCTGAAAGCGCTGCTGAATCTTGTTTGGCATCCGTGACACACAAGCCTCAGCTGACAGATGGTGGTGGCCGAGTGTGGCGTGCATGGCTGAGAGTCGAACCCGAAAGACAAGAATTCTGCCGCTGACCCCACCGCCCCTCTCAGCGCGCAGCCCTCGCCTCGGCCCACTTGTTGCTTGTCTGCAGAGTGGACTTCAGTCGCCAGCACCCCCAGGAGTGGCCTCATTTCTGAACTCAGGAGCACTTCTCTGGGCCTCGCTGAAGCGTGCCCCCTGCTGGCCATGGTAGCCATGATGTCGGCAGGGCAGGGCCCTGTGGGGGAACCCCTTTGGGACAGAGGCAGGACACCTCCAGTTAGGATGGAACCAGGGCCCAGAAGTGTGGCCAGCTGGGCAGGGCAGGACTGCTGAGGAAACAGTCCCTGTAACAGACTAATAGGCACCGTCATGGTAGGTGGAGAAAAGACTGAGACTGTCATGATTTCATCCTGGAACCGGTCAACACCCTTGGTACCAGCAGTCAGATTAGGAGATGCATGGTGGTGGTGGTGTTATGTGCCGTTGAGTCACCTGTGACTCATAGCAACCCTATGTACAACAGTCCTAAACCCTGCTCTATCCTGTGCCAATCTTAAAGTCTCTGACACGTCTACCCCCATTACCCCAGTCACTAAATCCATTTCATCAAGGGTCTTCCTCTCCTGTACTGTCCTTCCACCCTCCCAAGCATGATGTTCCTTTCTAAAGACTGGTCCCTCCTTGCAACATGTTCAAAGTAGGTCAGACGAAGCTTCAGAATCCTTGCCTTCAAGGAGCAGCCTGGTCTTACTCTCGGTAGGCTGAACCTGTTGGTTCTCCTAGCAGTCCATGGTACATTCAATACTCTTCTCCAGCACCACAGCTCAAAGGTATCAATTATCCTTCTGTCATCCCTAGTCACTGTCCTGCTTTCTGATGCATAACAAGTAACTGGCAAAGACCATGGCCTGTACCAGGCACCCTTAGTCTCCAGACTTAGGTCGATGCTCTTCAGTTCTCTGGAGAGGTCTCTGACAGCAGACTTTCCCAGTGCAATTCATGTTTTCATTTTTGGGCTACTGGTATTAAGAGTGTTTGTTGACTGTGGAGCCAAGCAAACTAAAGCTGTTAACAATCTCAATATCTACACTCTCTATCATGATGCTGCCAATCAGTCCAGTGCTGAGAATCTTTGTTTTCTTGATGTTGAGATTCAATCCATTTTGAAGGCTGCAGTCCTTGACTTTCTGCAGCAAGTGCTTCAGGTCCTCCTCAGTTTGAGCAAGCAGGGTTGTGTCATCTGCATAATGCAGGTTGTTGATGAGTCTTCCTCCAATCCTGATGCCACATTTCTCCTCATACAGCCCAGCCTCCTGGATAATCTGTTCTGCATATAGACTGAAAAGATACGGAGATAGGACACATCCCTGGCGTACACCCTTCCCAATTTTGAACCATGCCGTGTGTCCTTGCTCTGTCTTGACAACTGCCTCCTGGTCCAAGTATAGGTTTCGCATTAGCACAGTCAAGTGTTCAGGGATTCCCATTCTTCTCAGAGTCAGCCACAGTTTGTTGTGATCTGCATTCAAATGCCTTTGTGTAGTCAATGAAATGCAGATAGACATTCCTCTGGTACTCCCTGCTTTCAGCCAGCATCCTTCTAACATAAGCCATAATATTGCTGTCAGGAATTTCCCTGAAATCCTGAAGAATAATGATGTCAGTTTAACGACTAAGGTGCACCTGATTCAAGCCACAGTCTTTCCAGTCACTTGCTATGCTTCTGAGAGCTGGACATGAATGAGGATGACAGGAAAAGAATCAGTGTGTTTGGGTGGTGGCGTTGGAGAAGAGTGCTGACTATCTCATGGATGTCCTACCTTTGCCCGAAGAACAAATGAGTATGTGTTGGAAAAGGTCCAGCCAGATTGCTCCAGGGAGGTAAGATGGTGAGGCCTCGTCTCAGGTTTTGGACATGCCACTAGGAGAGGCTAGTCCTTGGAGAGGGCCCGCGTGCTTGGAAAGGCGGAGGGTCAGTGAAGGAGAGGAAGGCCCCAGTGAGATGAACTGACACAGCATCTGCGCAGGGCACTCAAGTGTGTGAGGGGCGATAAGGATGGCGCCGGACAGGACAGAGTTCAGAACTGCTGTTCTTGGGGTCCTTATCAGAGATGCACACCCACGTTTATTGCGGCTTTGTTCACAATAGCAAAGAATTGAAAACAACATAAGTTCCCACCAACAAACGAATGGATAGAGATGCTGTGGTATATTCACACAATGGAATACTACACTGCATTGAAAAACAAGAAACTCATGAAATATTATTCAAAATGGGTGACCCTGGAGGACATTATGTTGAGTGAAGTATCTCAGTCACAAAAGGGCAAATATTGCATAGGGCCACTGTTGTAAAACAGGTCTGACATCGTGGTTGGGGGGAGACTGAGAAAAAGGGGATAAATAATGTATACTGCATTGAAACAGATGAGTGAAAGAACTGTTTAAAAGGGATATGTGATTAATATTATTGTCATGACAGGAGTCCAGAATGAAGGTTTCACAGTAGAATGGACTTGGGGGGAGAGATTGTATACCAATGAAAGAATTTTTCTTTTACTTTTCAAAGAGAATAGCGAACTGGTGGGGAGGGATGGGCAGGGAGAAAAATGCAACAATGAATGAATGGAAATACAAAGTCTCTGTAAAGGTTCGTTAAAATTAATTTTAAAAATTAGTTTCTTTTTTTTAAAAAAGATTTTTATTATTTTCTTGTGTGTACCATCAAATCAGATCTGACTAGTACAGGAGGAGATTGTCCCTCCATCTCCAGCAGAGCATCTGGTGGATTCAAACTGTGTACCTTTAGGATTGCAGTGCAGCTTCTTGCCACTAGGCCACCAGAGCTCCCTAAAAAATTAGTTTCTTAAAAAACAACAACAGGTTGGAGTGGGTGTGGGTGAGGGACACCAGGCCTGCCAGCCAGGTTCCCACCCTCAGGCAAGGCCCCTCTGCAGAGTGGTCATCTGGCCCTGCAACATGACCTTATAACCTTGTGTCCTGGTGACCTTGCAGGGCCTGCCGCCCGGAGGATGGCGTACCAGGGCGAATGCGTCCAAACTGTGGTTAAGCAGCTCAGCAAATACAGACCCCAGAAGGACAGTCCCGAGCAGTTCCTGGACACCGTGTCCCTTGACCTGCAGGTAGGCTGGGGGCCAAACCAGTCCCGCTGCCGGGGGCTAGACCCGAACTCATCAACCCTCCGAAGGGTCGCCCCCGCTGGGCATCAATCCTAACAGAAACAGCCCACCTCATCGTGTCCCTTGGAGGTGCTTGGGGGTTCAAACTACCAGCCTTCAGGTTGCCAGCCCAGCCCGTTAGCACACCTCTCCCGCAGGGCCGCCCTGCTCTAAAGCCGAAGCCGGCAAGTCGCAGGCCCTGGATGCCCAGGGTGGAAGTCTGGATTTTACTCACTGTCACAGCGTGTTGACCCAGCTGTCCCCAGAGTCATGCCCAACATCCAGACAGAGCGTGACAGATGATTCATGCCCCCATGGCATGGGGCCACATCCCCGTGGTGCTGTCCTCAGTCTAAGGTCAGAAGAGTACACCCGACCTTCCCTGGACTCTGTCCTTAGTCACCTCTCCCCCACGACCCCTGCAGTGTCACAGGAAACTGGGAGAAGCCCTGATCCTCTGAGCTGAGGGCTGGGCCAGGCCTGGAGCAGTGGGGGTGAAAGTGAGCGCACCTCGGGCTGTCCTTGTGTGATGGACCTTTGTTGACCTGGAGCAGAGGGAGTATCCTGGTTTGACAGACCTGCAGTGGGGAAGTCTGTAGCCAGGGACCTCTCCAGATTACTGAGGAGTAATGATGTCAGTTTGAGGACTAAGGTGCACCTGATTCAGGCCATGATCTTTTCAGTCACTTGCTGGACAGTGACACATCTCAGTGGACATCTGAGAGCTGGACAGTGACTAAGGATGCTTGAAAAGGTGGAGGGGCAGTGAAAGAGAGGAAGACTCTCGACCAGGTGGGTTGAGTGTGTGGGAAGTTGAGAGGGTGGCACGGGATAGGATGGTGTTCAGATTGGTTGTTCAGAGGGTTCCCATGAGCTGTACTTGACCCGATGGCACTGAACCACAACAGGATGCAGCCAGGCCTAGAATAGCAGGCCTTGGCGGTGACTACTTCGGGCCATCCTGGTGTGACAGGCCCGCTCTGACTTCCAGTTCTCACTGTTCAAGACTGGAAGGGGACAGTCCCAAGGTCAAGAGCAGTGGCCTCTGCAGGTGGAGGTGGGAGTAACCTCAACTCCAGTCTGAGCAGAACTGGGAACAAGGGTCCAGGGAAGGAGGCTTGAGGACGCAGAGCCCCCAGTGCAGTCCCAGCCCTGGGCAGAGGGCAGCTCCAGACCCTGCGGGCGAGCACGGGGCACACGTCCCCCACTGTTGCTGTCTGGTCACTTCGGACTCACACTCGTGCCAGGGCAGAGCTGGCCTGTAGGTCTTCCACAGCTGTAGTGCCCATGAAGCAGGCTGCCTTGTCTTTCATAGAGTGGCTACAACCACTTGGCCAACTGACCGGAAGAGATCTATATTTGTCTCCATCCCAAAGAAGAGTGACCCGAAAGAGTGTGGAAACTATAAAACAATCTCATTGATTTCACATGCAAGCAAGATCCTACTGAAGATTATCCAAAAACGACTGGAATAGTATACCAGCAGAGAACTGCCAGAAGTCCAGGCTGGGTTTAGGAGGGGTCGTGGTACTAGGGATATTGTAGCTGATGTTAGATGGATCTTAGCTGAAAACAGGGAATACCAGAGGAATGTCTATCTGTGTTTCATTGATTATGCAAAGGCATTTGACTGTGCGAATCATAACAAACTGTGGCTGACTCTGAGGAGAAAATGGGAATCCCATTGAATTTGAACCACTGACCTATTGATTAGCAGCCCAAATGCTTAAATCCACTGTGCTCCTTAAGGGCCCCCCAAGTTTGTCACAGTAGGTTAGACCCCCTCACCTGCCATGCCCCCACTACAGGAACTCATACAGGCCAGGTAGGGGCAGTGTCCCCTCAGAGGGTGACTGCTGGCCTCGAGGAGGAAGAGCCGCCACCATGCTACACCCTCCGCCCTCCGCCCTCCACACGGGGAGCCCTCCTGCTGGCCTGGTCACACTGGTCCCCACAGCCTCAGGCGGCCCCTGTCGCATGTCTGCCACAGCATGTCCTGACCTCTCCCTGCATGTGGTGACGTGTGTGATGTGTCTGCACCCAGTCATTTGTCCAACCCTGGCAGTCCCCAGGAGAGGGCGCGAGTGGCCCGGCCCCGGGGCTTCTTTTAGATGCTTCTGACACTTCCCACGGTTTTTCCTAAGAACCCTCCAGTGTTGCACCTCGAAACTGGAACTTGCTTTCAGCTTGAAAACTGCTGAGCTGATCTCCCCCTTGGGGTTTCTGAGGCCAGTTCTTTGCACAGTCAGTGGAACACTTTGCTTTGTCGTCTTGAGATGCCCTTTGAAACCTTCTGTCAACTCTCTTAATAATTTCTTTCCTTTGTTTTGGCTTCCCTATGTTGATGACCAAGTCCAGAATCTCTTCTGACGTCTATTTTTGGGTCTTTCTTTCTTGCCTTTGAAATGACCATTTGCTTTGGTCGTGACTGTTGATGTCCTGGATGTCATCATACAACTCTGTCATTAGCGTTGACAGCATCAAATCTGTTCTTGAGATGCTTTTCGAATTCGGGTGGGATAGACTCACAGTCCTATTTTGACTCCCGTGGCTTTGTTTTCATTGTCTAGATATTCCATCTCAATTGGCAATTAAGTACATGGTGGTCTCTTCCACGGTCTTGTTCTGACTGTCGATACTGAACTGGAGAAGAGTGCTGAACATACCGTGGACTGCCAGGAGGCCAGACATCCTGGAGAGGGGGAAACCAGGCTGCTTCTTGGAGCAAAGGATTTTCCAGCTCCGTCTCACATCGTTTGGCCACATGGCCAGAAGGGACCAGTGCCTGGAAAAGGACATCATGCTTGGAGGAAGACCCCAGATGACATGGGCTGACAAAGTAACTGGGGTAGTGAGAGTAGGTGTGTCAGAGGCAGTGAGTCAGACACTGGCTCAGGATAAGGGAGGGACCAGAGCTACTGTGCTTAGGGTCGCTATGGGTCACAGGTAACTTGACACTGAACAATAACAACTGATTCAGAAGCTGCAATGTACACGTTTGTATTCTGTTGTGCTGACTGCTGCCTGGCCTGGGTGTCCAAGGTTGTCAAGCCTTTAGAGAAGCAGACGTTCTACCGAGGAGCCAGCCTTCTGGGTAGTCGCCAGTGCCCTAAACACAGTGCCACCAAGGCTCTCTCAATGCAGACCTGTTCCGGTCGAGGGGATTCTGACTCATGCTGGACCCATGTGTCTACAGCTGTGACCTCGGAAGCAGATCACCAGAGCCGTCCTCTGACTGAGACAGAAACAGGAGTGCGCCTGGACGCATGCCTGACACCCCACTCCGACCCTCCCTGCAGTGCCCATGGTGGGTTTGAACCGACAGCCTCATGGATTTGAACTGCCAACCTAGTGCATTGTGCCACTCAGGGGCTCTGTTGTTCCGCTCAGCTCCCAGCCCGTGGCTTGCTGTGGCTGGGCGTGGCCTTTTCTGGATGGTTCCTTTCACTTCCCACAAGCGCGATGGCGGAATTAAAGGGGACAGAAGCCGTAGCGTTCTGGACACTCATTTCTAAATCCCCTTCACCATCGCCCCGTCCACCTCTCCGCGGCCCTGCCCACAAACACGGACCTTCTTTCTGTTCTGAAATGCTGTTTCCTTCCTGAACAGCTGGCGCACCACGTGGTTCCTTGGGGTCAGTGAGGTCAGTCCTGCTGTGGCCCCGAAGCCGCCCACCTCCTGCTGTCCCCTCGTGTGACCGCTGCCCGCAGGCCTGTGGGCACGCACCTCCTCAGTGGTGTCACCTCCTCCAGGCTGGCGCCTGTGCCTGTACCCACGCCGAGAGCAGGAGAGCCGGGTCCCTGGGGGCTCAGTCATCACCGTGTGGCCGCAGCCCCTCCTTCCTCCCGTGATGTATGAGGATCACCCACAAACGGGCCCCTCTACCCGTCTCCCTCCAGGAGCTGAGCCCCATCAAGCGGGCCTTCATCCTGGATGTCCTCTCTGGGTGCCTCGAGTACCAGAAGTTACTGAGAACCGTGGTGGACGCCTTCTACGCCCGGGACGGACGGTTCTGCCTGTGGGCTGACTACAGTCTCTTTGAGGGTGGGTACCTCTCTGTCCATGTCCTCCTGGGTCTCTGTTCACTCGGGGTCTCCACAGCCCTCACCTCCCTGCACACCCTCAGGGTTGCCCTGAGGATGAGGGGTGTGCTACCCCACCTTACAGACATGTTCACTGAGTCCCTGCCTGGCTGATGGCTAGTTCTCACCCCCAGGACTTCTGTCCAACCTCAGTGCAGACAGACGTGAGCCCCAGCTGGCCCAGTCCAGCCAGACCTGCCTCTGGCTCTCAGGGAGGCCCCGTCTGTGCAAGGATAGAATGTGGAATGGGTGGATTACCCAGTAAGCAAGGGACCAAACAGAAGCCAAAACTGATTGCTGTCAGGTCAGAGCTGACTCAGGGCAACCGTCCGTCCAAGGCTGTAGGTGTTCATGGGAGGAAACTGCTCACGGAGCAGCCGGTCGGTTTGAACTGCTGCCCCTGGGCAGTTAGCACCCCAGCACTTAACCTGCAATGCCACCAGGACTCCTTAAGTGAGGTACGCATGGGTCCAATGGTGCCGTCCCCGACTCTGCAGTGCGTGATGTCATGGGTCCCCACCAGGTGGGAAATGTGAATTTCATGCACGTGGAATCTCTCACAACAGGTGGACTAGGAAACGCAGTCCAGACAGTAAAGGTGCTGTGTGGTCCAGCTGGCGCATACCGTGTCCACCACGTCATCTGCCCCCACCCAGAGGCCAGCTTGGGCAAAGTCACCAGCCCTTCACAGACAGGATCCTGCCTCTAACCCCAGGACCCATGGGCAGGCCTTGGCCGGGGCCAGCGATGTCATCTGGACTGTGCTGAGGGTTAATGAGCTGCTGTGTGTTCGCACTGGACTTCTGCAGGCTTCTGACACTGCTTTACAGGGGTGGCATCCATGGCAGGACGACCCCTGTCTCCACTGGGAGAGGGCCTTCTGGCCTTGAGACTCTGCCCCAGGAGGGGTGAGGATGAGGGTTTTGGGGTCCCAGTCACCCTCAGCAGCCCAGGCCACACAGCAGGTGGTGTGAGCGCCCAGGACCCCCGCCAGGCCGAGGGATGTCCATGCTCCACTGGCCTCGAGGTCCGTGAGCTCACTAAGCTACTAAACTGAACTGACAGTATTTCAGCTCTCGGCGGGGGCACCTGGTGCACATTGAGAGTTTCTGGAACCTTCGAGGAAGGCTTTGAAGGCCACAGCTTGCTCCCCAAGGCACTTGGACCACTGTTGTGTTCTGGATGCCTTTGCCCACTGCCTGCCCACGCGGGGAGGTCCTGGTCTGGAGGACCCTGCGGCCCCCGGTGAGGGGAGCCCGCTCACCTGCTCATTTGACCCCTCACCCCACAGTGATCTGCTACCTGGCCACGTTCCACGTGCAGGAGCTCGGCTTCCGGCTCTTCCGTAAGATCGTCTGTTCCCAGCCCCGGGACAAGATGCACAAGGTGAGTGGGCGCACCGTGTTCCTAAACCTGATGTGGGAGACCCTCCCCTAAACCTGAGGAAGGGGGGACCCCATTGCCGGAGTATCTTCAGCTACAGTGACCCTGTTGACCAGCAAAACTGCCCTGTTGTGTTTCTGAGTTGGTGAAGCTTTGTGGAAGCGGCTGGTGGCTTTGAACCGCTGGCCACCTGTGCTTCATCCACCTAACAGCAGGGCTCCTAAACGCCAGGGCCCCCATCCAGCGGTCACTGACTAAACCCTCCAGTCACTCGTCCATCTGTCGCCGACCCCTGGAGCTGGCTTGAAGGGAGCAGACGCCGGATGGACCACTGCGACACAGGCGCCCTCCCTGACCACGTGTCCTGGGAGTGTGGTCCGAGGTCCTTAGACTCGGTGGCCAGTGCCAGCCAGTGCTTAGCTGTGACTTGTCTATCTGTCACTGTCCTCCAGGCTTCAAGAACCTTGTCCTGCTTCTTCTAACTCCAGCCCAACTGGGGCTCTGAGGGCCAGAGGAAGGGGGAGGGCTGGAGTCCTGGGGTGCTGCCCAGCTTCCCTGCCTCAGCCACGCCTGTGTGCCCCTCACGTCTGTGGACTCCTCGCTGTGTGCAGTGGCCCCTCGAGTTCTGTACTCTGTGCATGGCCTTGCTCCACCTTCACAAAGACCCTGGACGCTCGTTTCTCCAGGAACCCCCAGCCCTCAGCCCCCAGACCTGGACCTCTAACGAGGCGAAATAATGAGTGTGGCCCAGGCTAATTTTTCTTTCCTGTAGGTTTTTCCTGTCCACATAATTCCCAGGGAACAAATACTTTCACAGTTCTCTTAAGCAAGAGTTGTTGTTGTTGTGTGCCGTCAAGTTGCCTGCTACTCATATGGCTCTATATATGACAGCCCTAAACCCTGCTCTGTCCTGTGCCTATCTCACTGTCTCTGACACACCTATCCCGATCACTCCAGTCACTGAATCAATCCACCTCATAGAGGATCTTCCCCTCCTGCATTGTCCCTTCACCCTCCCAAGCATGACGTCCTTCTCCAAGAAATGATCCCTCCTTGCAACATGTCCAAAGTATGTCAGACGAAGCTTCAGAATCCTTGCCTCCAAGGACCAGCCTGATTTAACCCTCTCCAGGATGAATGTTTTCTTAGCAGTCCATGGTATTCTCAGTATTCTTATCCAGCACCACAGCTCAAAGGCATCAATTCTCCTTCTAGCCTCCTTGATCATTGTCCAACTCTCTGATGCATAACAAGTGATTGCGAAGACCATGGCCTGTATCAAACGCACCTTAGTCTCCAGAGAGACACCATTGCTCTTCAGTACCTTGGAGAGGTCCCTAACAGCAGACTTTCCCATGGCAACGCGCCTTTTAATTTCCTGGCTACTGGTGCCAAGAGTGTTGATTGTGGAGCCAAGCAAACTAAAGCTGTGTACAATCTCAATCTCTTCACCATCCATCCTGATGCTGCCAATTGGTCCAGGGGTGAGAATCTTTGTCTTCTTTTTTTTATTGTATTATTTTTACATGTACTGTCAAATCAGATCTGACTGGTACAGGAGGAGATTGCCCCCTCCTTCTCCAGCAGAGCATCTGGTGGATTTGAACCACGTACCTCTGGGATTGCCGTGCAGCGTCTTGCCACTAGGCCACCAGAGCTCCCCTTTGTCTTCTTGACGTTGAGCCTTAATCCATATTGGAGGCTGCAGTCCTTGACCCTCTGCAGCAGGTGCTTCAGGTCCTCTTCAGTTTCAGCAAGCAAGGTTGTGTCATCTGCATAACACAGATTGTTGATAAATCGTCCACCAATCTTGACCCCACATTTCTCCTCATAGTGCCCAGCCTCCCGGATAATCTGTTCTGCATATAGGTTGAAAAAGTATGGAGATAGGACGCATCCCTAGTGTACACCCTTCCCAATTTTGAACCATGCAGTGTTCCCTTGCTCTGTTCTGACGACTGCCTCCTGGTCCAAGTATAGGTTTCGCATTAGAACAATCAAGTGTTCTGGGATTCCCATTCTCAGAGTCAGGCACAGTTTGTTATGATCCACACAGTCAAACGCCTTTGCATAATCAATGAAACACAGATAGACATTCCTCTGGTATTCCCTGCTTTCAGCCAAGATCCATCTAACATCAGCTACAATATCCCTAGTACCACAGCCCCTTCTAAACCCAGCCTGGACTTCTGGTAGTTCTCTGCTCATGTGCTGTTCCAGTCGTTTTTGGATAATCTTCAGTAAAATCTTGCTTGCATGTGAAATCAATGAGATTGTTCTATAGTTTCCACACTCTGTTGGGTCACCTTTCTTTGGGATGGTAACAAATACAGATCTCTTCCAGTCAGTTGGCCAAGTGGTTTCTTTTAAAAAACAACAACAAACCAAAACAACAAAAGGCTGGACAGAAGGTTTTTCTAAGAGACCTTTGAGAGGTGTTGTGGGGTTTTTTTAAATTTTATTATTTTTTGTGCATGTATTGTCAAGTCAGATCTCACTGGTACAGGAGGAGATTGTCCCTCCTTCTCCGGCAGAGCATCTAGTGGATTCGAACCGTGTACCTTTGGGATTGCAGTACAGCTTCTTGCCACTAGGCCACCAGAGCTCCCCGAGAGGTGTTTTTGAGAGATCATAGTCCCAGGTCGGGGTTAATTTCACAGCCTGTGACCTGCGCGGGGGCTCAGGGCCACTCTCGGGACCGGTGTGTGTAAGGACGGTGTGCTCAGAATGACCTGTTCCTGAGAGGACCCTGCCGCTGGGGAGACCCTCATTGGGGGAAGACCACACAGTAGGGAGGACTGCCACCCAGAAGGGTCAGGGTCACCTTGGGAACACGAACGTTTCAGAGAATCCACCTTTGAGAGGACCGCCCTCGGGAGGGTTGTGGGTTTGGGGTGGTCTTCACTCCGGAGGCCGACACTTGGGAGGACTCACCCTCAGGCGGACCCACTCTCAAGAGGACTGGTGGTCTGGAGGATTCTAGCTCTAGGGCACTCACATTTGGGAGAGTTCTCGCTTGGGAGGACCATACTCAGGAGGACTCACCTCAGGAGGACTCACCCCCTGGGAGGACCCTCCCCCAGGAGGATCCACCCCTGGGAGGACTCACCCTCAAGAGGACCCACCCCTGGGAGCACTCCCCCTCAAGAGAGACCCACCCCCGCAGGGAGGACCCTACCCCAGGAGGACCCACCCCCAGGAGCACTCACTCTTGGGAGGACCTAACTGTGGAGCACTCACCCTCAGGAGGACTGGTGGTCTGAAGACTCTGGCTTTGGAGCTGCTCTAAGGCCATGCTCAAGAGGACCCTCCGTCGGGAGCCCCCACTCTCAGGATTCCCCTCCCTCGGGAGCCCCCACTCTCAGGATTCCCCTCCGTCATGAGCCCCCACTCGTGATTAGTGCCCTGATGTCTGTGTCCAGGAGCTCGTGTGCTGAGAGCTCCGTGCTGGGCCTGGAAAACAGGAATGAAGTCTTGGTTCCAGGCTGTCACTGCTGTGCATGGGAATGACTCAGCCAGTGGGGTGTACTGACTCATGGGGGGCCTCAGCCCAGAATGGCCTCGCTGGACTCCCCAGGCCTTGATCTGTGCTCCCAGGAGAGCCTGCCTGCCTTGGGGATGGGCCGTGTGACAATTCCTGGAGGGAATAAGGTGGTCCCACCATCCCCAGGCTGTGCATCCACGTGCTAATGGGATCAGCTGATGGGCAGAGGGCCCACTCCCACTCACACACATTCTCTGGGTGGACCACCCTGGCCACTCCCCCATTGTGGATCGTAATCCATTCTGGAAAGTTGTGTTTGCAGGTGTGGGATGTGTTCCTGGATGGGCAAATGGGTCAAGAACCAGTGGCTGGGCTTGAGGAAGGTGGGGGCCAGGAAATGGAGCAGCATGCAGAGATGGACATTAGGTGGGAAAGAGCGATCAGATTCGGGGGGGTCTTTGGGCCCCTAGAGGGAGAAAGGACCCAGGTGATGGACCTGCTCAGAGGGCCGCTCCCACCAGCTTTGTGGAGGGCGCCCTCTGTCATCCACCTCCTGCCTTCCTGCAGTGTGGCCTCTCCTCTGACCTCTCCTCCCACCTCCCTCCTGCCCTGCCCTGCCCCTGTGAGAAGGGGATCCGGCCCAGGTGGTGGGGCCCTGAGAACTCTGCTCCCCTGTAGTTCCTCAGGTTCTTCTTCAACCCCATAAACCTGTGCTCCTGGATCAAGGACGAGTGGAGCTTGGTGTATGAGACCACCCACGTCAAGGAGAGCTGGATCGACCCCCTGATGAGGTGGGTGAGGACAGCAGTGGGGGCAGGGTGCCCAGCAGATGGGCCATGCTGTGTGGGCAGCCAGCTAGGTGTGCTGTGAGGGGCCGAGGGGCTAACTGTGTGCACCTTGGAGCCAAGGATGGTGAAGCTTCATCTCTCAAACTTGGGACATACAGCCGGGTAAGGCTGTTCCTTGGGGCGTACTTGGAAAGGTGGAAGGACAGCAAAGGAGAGGAAGACCCTCAGTGAGATGGACTGACAGTGACAGCGGCAATGGCTCTAGTGTGTCAGAGACGATGAGGATGGTTGGGACAGGACAGGGCAGCGGTCAGATCTGTGGTTCACAGGATCGCTGAGTCCTCCCCGACAGCAGCCAACAACAGTGAGGAGCCGGAGCCGGAGCCTCGAGTCCCGTCTGTGCCGCCTCCAGGAGGCTGCTGTGTGACTGATGGAGGAGCAGCCCCCTCTACTCGGGAACACACCTACTGAGCAGGGCGCTGAGATGGTGCCCAGTGGTTGAGGGGTGAAGTGGGCTCTTTGGCCAATGGCAGCACACCTCCATGGGTGCCTGCCAGGCCCCAGCCCAACCATGGACCCCAGGGTGAAGTTGCAGGGGACACACACCACAGACCCCAGGATAGAGGACACCACGGCCCCAGGGTGGAGGTGGGAGAACAGACACCATGGATCCCAGGATAGAGGTGGGAGGGTACCATGGACTCCAGGATAGATGTGGGACTACACCATGGATCCCAGGATAGATGTGGGAGGACACCATGACCCCCAGGATAGAGGTGGGAGGACACACACCACGGACCCCAGGATAGAGGTGGGAGGACACCATGGCCCCCAGGGTGGAGGAGAGGCTCAGCTGTGACTCCGGGTGGATTCAGACCTAGACCCCTCTCAGGCCCTGGAAAGGTACCATCCAGGCCTGTCACTGCAAAACTGCCCTCGGTAGCCCTTTGCCTGTGGGCTTGGGGCCCACAGACTCGGCCAGGAGCCCCGGGCCCTGCCTTCAGCCCTGTGGAGAGGCTGCTGGGGTGAGGTGCCGTGGGACCTTGCTGAGGCCGTGCTCCCAGTGTGCACAGACACCCTACCCTTCAACCGATTCCCTGGAGACCGAGGGCCCTGGGAGGCCGAGTGTCCCCTACAGCTGACCGTTGCCCTGAGGGACCGTCCCCAGACCCCATCTACCACCACTGGCAGCACTGGAGAAGCCTCCTGGGCACAGGGATGGGCTCAGAATCTGCTGTCGCTGGGCCCCACAGGACCTGGCGTCACAGTGTCACCTTCCTCCCCACCGTCTCAGATGTGGCCTCCCTGTGTCCCTTGGAACCCAGCCCATCACTCACTTCCCACTTCTCCTCACCCTGCTCAGACACTGGACCTCAGCAGACTTGAGGCTCCTCCCCACAGCCTCCCAGTGGCCAGGGATCTCCCAGAGGGTCCAGGGGAGCAGTGGGCAGGGCTGGTGTGCAGACAGAGGGACCCCAACTTTGATGCAGCCTCTCCAGAGCCCTGGCTCGGGGCATCCCCTAAGCTGCCCAGGAACATCCAGACCCCGAGGGAGACACGGGCTCCAGGCCCCTCACCCACTCCCTCCTGCGGCTTCATCCCACCAGCCAGTCCTCACAGCACAGCTCCAGAATATTCCTCCACAATGGCAGCTTCTCCCTCCCCGGCTCACTCCCCCCGCCATCTGTCTGCCTGGGTTAGCTCCCTATCCCAGCTGTCCCTCCTCAGATGTCCCCTCCCTGCAATGGCACTCCCTTGCCCCCCAGTGGCCCACCCTCCCAGGTGGCCTTGAGGAAGGAAGCCTCTGGCCTCTGTGTCTTCATCTGAAAAAGGGGCACGTCAGTGCATCATGGGGTGGAATTGGCTCTGTGCTTGCAAAGCAGCAGTTCCTGGGAGAGAGGGCCTGTCAGTCACTGTTAACACCCATCCTGAGGCCTGAACACTGGTCCTGGGGGTCCAGCACCCCGTTTACCTGCTCAGCCAACACTCCTTCTGAGCCCCTTCTCCCACTTTGGGCTCCCAGGCTGCAACCAGAGATTCAGGAGCTGCTCAGAGAGCTGGAAACGGCGTCAGCCAATCAGGCCTCTGTTGTGAAAGCCAAGACCAAGGTCACAGAGCCCAAGGAGTTCAAGTTGACTGTTCCGAGGCCCCGTGCCATCCCCATGCCCAAGCGTGCACCCGTGCTGGCCAAGCCCAGACCAGTAAGTGGTGGTGGCAGTGGTGGTGGTGGTGGTGGTGGTGGTGGTGGTGGTGGTGGTGTTAGGTGTTGAGTTGACTGTGACTCACCGTGTGAACAACAGATCTGAACCGTGCCCTATCCTGAGCCATCCTCAGTCTCTGGCACAGTCCATCTGGTTGAGGGTCTTCCTCTCTTTCACTGACCCTCCACTTTTCCAAGCGGATGTCCCTCTAAGGAATACTGTCTCCTAGCAACATGCCCAAAGTATGTGAGTCGAAACTATCATATTTGCTTCAAGGAGCACTCTGGCTGCGCCTTCTCCAAGACATATCTGTTTGTTCTTTTGACAGTCCCAGGGACCTTCAGAATTCTTCTCCAACATCACAGACTGAAGGCATCAGTTCTTCTTCTGTCATCCTTTCATTATCCATCTCTCAGATACATAACAAATGACTGAAAAGAAACATGGCCTGAATCAGGTGTACCTTAGTCTTTAAACTGACATCATTGTTCCTCAATAATTTGGAGAGGTCTCTGACTGCACACTTTCTCAAAGCAATACATCTCCTGATGTCTGGACTGCTGATTCCAAGGATGTTGTTTTTGGATCCAAGAAGATAAAGCTGTTGACAGTTACAGTCTGTTCTTCACATATCATGATGTTGCCCATCAGTCCAGTGGTGAGAATTTTTGTTTTCTTGAAGTTGAGAAGCAATCCATATTGAATACTGTAGCCTTGATCCTCTGCAGCAAGCACTTCAAGTCCTCATTTTCAGCAAGGAAAGTTGTGTTATTGTAATAACATAAGTTATTGATGAATCTTCTCTGATCTTGATGCCACATTCTTCTATATAGAGTACAACTTCTTGAATAATTCGCTCATCATACAGATTGAATAGGTATCAAGAAAAGATCCAACCTTGACACACACCTTTCTGAATTTTTTTAACCATGTATTATTTGTTTCTCTCTTCACACAACAGACCACTGGTCTTTGTATAAATTTTGCATGAGCACAATTAAGTGTTCTGGGATTCCCATTGTCCTTAAATCAGCCATCATTTGTTCTAATCCACAGTCAAATGTTTTTGCATAGTCAATGAAGCACAATTAGACGTTCCTCTGGTGTTTTATTTCTTTCAGCCAGCATCTTCCTGATGATACCCCTGGGGCCATGGCCTCTTTTAAATCCAACTTGAACTTCTAGAAGTTGTAAACTTCTAGCTATTTTCATTATCTTCAGCAGTGTGCTTGCTTGTGATATTAATTATATTGTTTGGTAATTTACACTTTCTGTTGGATTACCTTTCTTGGGAATGGGCACAAATATGGGCCTTTTCCACTTGGTTGGCCAGATAGCTGTCTTCCAAATTTCCTGGCACAGACTGACGGGTGCATCCAATGCTGCATCTGTTAGTTGAAACATGCCGTTGGTATCCCATTTCATCCTGGAGCCAGTGTCTTCAGTGCAACTTCAACTTCTTCCTGCATTCTCATTGGCTCGTGGTCATACAATTCTTCCTGAACCATTTCATTGTCGACCAATTCTTTTTGTTAACAGTGATTCTGTGTATTCCGCTATCCTCTGATGTTTCCTGGATCGTTCAAGATTTTGTCCATAATATCTCTCAGTATTACAACTTGAGGCTTGAATTCCCCCCCCGCCCTGTTCTTTCAGTTTGAGACATGCCAAGTCCTTTTATTCTCTGACCACCTCTCCACACATTCTATTCTAATACTTTGCCCTCTTGAGCTTCCCTTGGACAACTTCTGTTCAGCTCTCTTACTTCTTCCCTTTGTTTTGGCGTGTTGACACTCTGATGTAACATTGAGGGTCTCTTTGAAATCCGTTTTGGTTTTTCGTGGTTCTTGATTCTGAGGAGCTGAGACATCTGCATGTGTGCAGGCTTGCCACCTTCCAGGAGAGCCGTGCCACCTGACTGTGTCCCGGCACAGAGACTGAACCCCACGGGTCAGAGGGCTGTCCCTGCCTCAGGCCGTTTGCACGTCTGTGCCCTGTGCACAGAGCCTGTCCCTCTCTTTCTACCTCACTGACTTGTATCATTCAAGATAACCTCCATCACAGGTAAGGGGACAGTGCCGTTCAGATTGCTGTCAGCCACAGAGAGCTTATTGACGCTTGGGAAGCATGGCAGGCTTCTCGGCTTCTCTGACGTCCTCTCCGCCCTATTCCCTACAAGTAAATGTTATCTTTGTGGTACCTTCCCTCATAGCAAAAAGTTCAGGCCTCAAATACACATTCTACAACATCCATGGCAGACAAGAAATCTAGAGCCAGGAGTTAATTAGAAAAACCTGCTTGGGTCAGCTCATTCTTATAACAAGGAACTCTGGTATTCTACTAGGAAGGAATTATTATCCTGCCAATCCAAAACCACGTGGTTTGGATCCACAGGAGAAAGATGAGAAATCTCCTCCCATGTCATTGCCTCTGAGAATCCACTCGAGGCTCCGCTATGAGTTGGTTCCAAGTTGACGGTACACACCCATCTTGAACGTGTCCCGTGACCGGTGCAGTGACCTGACTGCTGCGGGCTGCTTAGCTTCTCAGAACCCATTTACATCGTCAGCAAAACTGGTCCTCTGAGCTCTCCAGACTCAACCTTGCATCCCAGAAGGCTTTGCATGAATCCATCCACTAAATGCGTCTCTTCTCATTGACGAGCTTTCGTCCCCCACAGCATTAGTTTGTTATTGGTGAGTTGCTTGCGCATCTTGTCATTGTCTCCACAGACCTCATTCCTCTTATTCCAGATTCCCAGTGCTGACCACAGACCTGACTCTGAGCAAGACTTTTGTAAACACTTGTTGGGAAGAGGGAATGGTAGATGGCTGAATGAACAGGCGGATGAGTAGATGGATGGAATGGTAGGTGGATGTATAGAATGATGGGTTGATGGATGATGGATAAAAGGTGGGGGATAGATGGGTGGGTGGGTGGATGGACGGATGGATGAATGGATGACAGGAATGGCAGATAGGTGGATAGAATGATGAATGATGGCTAGATGTATAGACAGATGGTAGGTGGACAGATGGAATAGTGGATTAACGAATGGATGAAGGGTGAATGGATAACTAGATGATTGGAAGGATGGATGGATGGATGGATGGATGGATGGATGGAATAGCAGATGGATGGATTATTGGTTAGAACAATGAGTGGAAGATTAAATAAATGATCAGAGCCTCATAACTAAACAGTCCACCATTTACCCCATCTACAGGGTCTTCCACATTTCAGACCTGATTCTCCAAGCTCAGTGTATTTATCTCAAGTCATCTTTTTTTTTAAAATCTTACTGTTGTTATGTGCTATTGAGTCATGTAATAAACTGCTGGCTCCTCTCCGGCAGATTTTCAGAGATGGTAAATCGTATGAGTGGAGATCACCCGTCTTTCCTCTATGGAACAGCTGGTGGCTTTGAACTTTGTGCCTTTAGGTTGTCAGGGCAACTCCTAAACACTAGGCCACCAGACTACTACTTGGTTTTAGGAAGACTCCAGGGGATATTTTTGCTTTAAATTTAAAGATTTTCTCAGGACAGTAATTCTAGGGGTTGATTTACCTTCATTGCTCTGCGAAGTCTGGAGTCCGTGAGAATTTGACAGCCTGTTCTACATTTATCCCCTTTTGATCACGATGTCCGGTAACACTAGCTAGCCATTCATTAAACATTTGTGAAGTGCCTGGTAGGTGCCAAACATATTTGTCAGCCTTATGATTCAACTGCAAACCAAAGAAGACAAACATTTCTGTCCATAAAGAGCACTCATTCCAGGGGGAGATTCAGGCAACAAGCGTGTGGTGGTTAGTCAGTGACAGGCACTGAGAAGAAGCAACACACAGCATGGCCGTCAGAACCATAGACAGGGGTCTGGTTATCGAAGAACTAGGGGAGGCCCCACTGAGAAGGGCCTCTGGACTCCTGGAGCTCCCTGGGGGAAGACTGTTCCAGACAGAGGACCCAGTGTGGGCAAGTGTTCTATGGCAGGGACCTGCATGCATGCAGAGGCCAGCCAGAGGGGCAGGAGAGTGAGGACAGGAGGGAGCAGAGGTGAGTCACCCAGTCATTCTGGGAACTTTGAGCCTTTGTAAGTTTGCAGAGTCCCTCAGTGATGGGTGTGGAGAGAGAAGGAGGCGAGGGATGTTTAGAAGCAGATGGGCAGGACTGGTAGATGGAGGTGGGTGTGAGGGGCACTGAGAGACGCTGTGAAGACTTGACTTGAACGAGAAATGGGCAGGGCAGGGCTGAGAGGGCAGGGGACAGACAGGGTGTCCTGGGCCGCCTGTGAGTCTGCAGGTGAGGAAGGCATGGCATTAGGAGAATGATGTAGGACTCTGTAGAGTTCAGGCTGCTTCCTGGACAGGCCCTGCTCCTGCCATGGTCACCCCCGTGGACACGTCTCAGCCAGCCCTGGTTCCTGCACTATGACGTCAGAGTCCAGTTGCTTTCACAGAGTCCAGACCACTCCTTCAGCGTCTCCTCTGACCGAGCTCTGTCATCTGTGGCCTCCTCCCTTGTCTCTCTGCAAGCTGTCCCCCTTCCAGCTCTCTGCCCACCCTCACTGGCCCATGCCGGGCCTCGGGCCCCTGTGTTTCCCTGCTGTCTCTGTGAGCATCTGTCCCCGCCCCAGTTCTGGTCAGAGCCCAGCATGTTCACTTCCCCTCTCCCGCCCACACCTGAGGTTGTGCTGGACACCAGCTGGCCGCCAGCCCTGGCATCCTGGGCATCGCCCCCGATCTGCAGCTGTCTGACCCTGGCTTTTCTCTCCTCCTCCCACAGGTCCCACAGAGTACCTACCAGCTGCCCCCAGAGCGGCAGCAGCTGGAGCGTACCAAGAGATATAACCGCTGGCTGGCCGAGGTGAGCCCCAGGGGACGAGGTCCTGCCCGTCATGACCACTGTTGGGGGGGGTGTGCCAGTGCAGGACACTCACCTCAGCTAGTTGTCTCCAGTGTAGAAGGAGAAAAGTGGACAGGTCACACGGTGCAGCGGGACTGTCCTGCACCACCAGGGATAGTCTCGGCGTGCTGGTCACTCTTACACCCCACTCTCCGCTATCTGAGAGCAGGATGGCTCCCTGCTGGAAGCCTTCTGGATGATGGAAGGGGGGAGGAGGAGGAGGAAAGGCTGGCCGCTCGCCTTGTCCTGGAGGGCCCCAAGGTCCCCAGGAGGCCACGGGCCGAGGCTGAGTCCCGTGTGACCACAGGAGCTGCTGCTGAATGCGAACTTGGAGGAGCTGCGCTGTGCCATGCCCAGAGCCCGCAGGGAGACCCCAGCAGAGGTAAGGTCTGCCCTCATCCCAGCCCCGGCAAGAGCAGGTCCCGCCACACGGAGTGCTTCCAGGTGCCAAGTCTCCCACTAGACACTAAGTCCCAAAGTTAGTGTCCTTCCACCAACGGCCATTGAGGGGCAAATGTCCTGTGATGGTGGGAGGGGACCCCCGGTGCCTGCCATGTTCCTGCTGAGCAGGTGGAAGCAGGAAGGTGTAGAAGGGTCATTGTGGACAAGAGGTAATGCACAGGAGGGCCAGTGTAGACAGGGCAGGCATGGAGGGGCCAGTGTACAGGAGGGCCAGTGTAGACAGGGCAGGCATGGAGGGGCCAGTGTACAGGAGGGCCAGTTTAGACAGGGCAGGTGTGGAGGAGAGCGAGTACGTGGGAGGGAGGTGTAGACGGGGCAGGTGCAGAGGAGAGCTGGTATAGATGGAGGCAGATGGAGGTAAGTGTGTACTCTGGCAGGTGTTGTTGTTGTCAACAATATGAAATCAGAACCGACTCATCGCTGAGCCCCTAGTAGGTCTCAGAGGCTGTAAATCCCATGACAGGGGTCTGCCCTGCTTTCTCCTTTGGAGCAACGAGTGGACTCAAACAGCCCACTAGGCCAACAGAGCAGGTGTAGAGGTGGGCAGGTGTAGAGGTGAGAGGATCTAGGCGTCGGCAGGTGTCGATGGGGTAAGTGCAGAGATGAGAAAGTGCAGAGGCAGGCAAGCTTGGAGGTGAACAGGTTTAGATATGGCCAAGTGTACAGGTGGTAGGTATAGAGCAAGAATGTATCAAAGCAGACAGATATAGACGTGGGCAGGTGTAGAAGAAGAGAGGTGTAGACACAGGTAGGGGTACAGGAGGGCAGGTGCAGGTGCAGGTGGACAGGGGGACATGTGTAGACACATAGGTATAGAGGCAGGCAGTAATAGAGGTAGCTAGACATAGAGGTGGGAAGGTATTGAAGGGGGCAGATATAGAGGCGGACAGGTGTACAGGTGGATACATGCAGAAGTGGGAAGGTGTAAAAGTGTTAAGCTATAGATCTGGGCAGGTGTTGAGATAGATGAAGACAAGTATAGAGGTGGACAGGTGTCAAGGTGGACAGATGTGGGCAGGTGTAGAGGTGGAAAGGTGTGGACAGATGTTAGGTGTATCAGAACATTGGGGAAGAATGTTCCCAGGTAAAACGGGAACAGCAGCTGTCTGAGTTTTCCACATGGAATATTTAATTCTTCAGAGAGAAAAAGGTGCATTCTGAGTATATTTGTATAAAAGATCAGGGCCTAGGAAGAGAATGGCTTCTCCTCCCGATGCTCACACTGTCAGCTGACCCCCTTCTGCCCAAGAGCCCACCTGAGTACAGAGGAGCTGGACGGGCCCCCAGGGAGTGGGCGATAGTGGAGCTCCAGGGAGGTGACCCTTTCCTGGCTGTCCCCCACTTCCCGAGAGTGTCACTCAGGAGTGGAGGGATGGGAGAGTTGGGGAAGATCTGATCAGGGTTGGTCAGGAGACCACTGAGATCCCAACCCTCTAGGCCAAAATGTCCTACCCATCTTTGGTCCCCAG